ACAAAACCTTCTTGATTACTTAAGTCACAGCACCAACTGGAGAGGCCGCAATTGTAAAGAGCCTGGAGAAACAGGCAGTAGATCAGTAGATCTGAGGTCCCAGTCCCACCAAGCCACTGCCATCACTGGCATCACCGCCTGAGCTCCACCCACACCCCCTCCCAAACTCCCATCCCCCACCACCCACCCGGCAGTGGAAAAAGTGTCTTCTGTGAAACCAGTACCTGGAGCTAAAAGGGTTGGGGACCACTACAGTAGATCGCTATTCATCTACGCTGAAAACAACTACTCAGCAACATGTCAGTCATAACCTAACTTGGAAGTCACACGATGCACTTTGATATTACGATGTCTGTCTCCCCATAAGGCCAAACGTGGCATTTCTAAATGTAATTTACTAAAAGGAGGCTAATTTAAAGGAACTCTGTCATTAGTTCCTTCAATGTTGACAGGTATCCCTTAAGCACAAAAAAAATTACTCTCATTTGTTTCCACAGTTATCTTCATAAAATGGGGCCCACCTGTATTCATAAAGTGCCCAATAAAGTACTGCTCATAAAGTGTGGGGTTAGTTGAAGCACACAAATACTGTTGCTAAAATTTGCCCTTTAATTACTTTCTTTCTTTTCTTTTCTTTTTTTCCTTTCTTTCTTTTTTTTTTTTTAAGACAGAGTCTCACTCTGTTGCCCGGGCTAGACTGCCCTGGCATCAGCCTAGCTCACAACAACCTCAAACTCCTGAGCTAAAGCAATCCTTCTGCCTAAGCCTTCTGAATAGCTGGGACTACAGGCATGCGCCACCATGCCAGCTAATTTTCTGTATATTTTATTGGCCAATTAATTTCTTTCTTTTTTTTTGGTAGAGATGGGGTCTCGCTCTTGCTCTGGCTGGTTTCTAATTCCTGACCTTGAGCGATCCTCCCCCCCTCGGCCTCCCAGAGCGCTAGGATTACAGGTGTGAGCCACTGCACCCGGCCTTAATTACTCTCTTGATGTTTAATTTTTGCTCCAGTCTTAGTATAACATTGCTTTACCATCTGCCTCAAACCCACTAAACCTGCAGGTCTAAGAAAAGAAAGACTGCCTCTGAATCCCTCAGAGTTTCTCTTTTTTTTTTTACAAAACATACTTTGAAAAGTGGGGACAGAATGTTTTCTTGCATGGTGAAATTGAAGGAATGACATGGAAATACTTATAACCTTTGGCATTTGTAAGTGGATTCCAGTTTGTCACAATTAATAACCATTTATTCACTGAGTGTTGCAACATTAGGGATTAAATAGAATGTGGGTTCCCAGATCCTGTTCTTTTTTGGGTGTGGAGCAAGAGATAGTGGGCCAGATATTGCTGCAGAGAGCATCAGATAGAACTGCTGTTACAGAAAAGTTTTATCCCACTGAACTCTCTCTGGGTCCCCCTCGATGCCCCAGAGTAACAGTCCTTTTAAGTTTGATGATTACTGAGACTGGGAGGTTCAGATTAATCTAATGTTATGCTTAGCTAGTATTGAGCAAAAACAATTTTGATTTCCAACTTTGTTAATACCTCTTGCAAATGTATCAGTTCATTTTCTTGCTTTAGATCAGAAGTGGGGAAACTTTTTTTGGAAGGCCACATTAATATAGCTTTAATCAAGTAAGGCCACATTCAAGAAACTTCAATGAGATATATTTTTAAATGTACATTATTTTGTAAAAACATAAGTACTATGCATTTGATAATTTCAAAAAATGAAAACTAGTTTTGTTATTTTAAAGCTAACAACCTTTAATGTTTTGTCTGGTCTACTTTGTTGAGAAGCAATTCAGTATTTGGTTGCAGCATGGAGGTCCACAGTTTCAGTTCATCCTCTAGATGGGTATCAGTCATTTGTGACCTTAAGTGTGTATTGATTTGGGTTAGGTAGGAGAATGTAGATTCGCAGCAATAAGAGTTGAAAAGCAAGAAAGTATTTTTTGGGCATGTAGCTGAAGGTGTGGGTATTCTACTGCGTTTTTCAGTATTTCAGTTGGATCTTTCTTAGCATCAAACAATGACTTTAAAATGTCATCTACTGAGAGCTCAATCAACCCCATCAGTAGTTTTGGTTTTTTTTAAAACAGAGTCTTATTTTGTTGCCTGGGCTATAGTGAGTGTCAGGCCTCAGCCTAGCTCACAGCAACCTCAAACTCCTGAGCTCAAGCAATCCTCCTGCCTCAGCCTCCTGAGTAGCTGGGACTACAGGCATGTGCCACCATGCCTGGCTAATTTTTTCTATTTTTAGTAGAGACAGGGTCTCAATCTTGCTCAGGCTGGTATCCAACTTCTGACCTTAAGTGATCCTCCCGCCTCGGTCTCTCAGAGTGCTAGGATTACAGGCGTGAACCAACACACTAGGGCCCCATCTGTAGTTCCTTAGATGCCTTGGTGATATCAATTAGGTGAGGCTAAAAATGTTAATTTGAGGGTGATGTCATGATTCTCAAAGTCAGTGAACCTTTCCTTATATTCTCCAATTAATAGGTCTATAACAGTTGCATATTCTTCAAATGATTTGCATATATCATCCTCTTCATCAATGACCTTTGCTAACCTGGGAAAATGTTCATCCACAATTTCCTTCTGAAGAAGTGTTCTGAAAAAAGATAGCTATTTTTGAAATGCTTGGATTTTTTTGTCACATATCATATATAGACTTAGCTTTACCTTGCAAAGAAATATTCAAGTCATTTTGATTTGACATGCTATCACACAGATATGCTGCATTCCTATAGAAATCTTCTTTTAATAATTCACATTGCTGATTCTGTTCTTCATAAAATTTAATTTTTCTCACAGAGATACCTGTCCCTGCAATAGCCAGTGTACTTAAGAATGATAGGCAAATCCATAGTTAACAATACTTAGAAATTGTTGCAACGTGTCACTTAAAATAGTAGCTTTAGCACAGAGATTTTGCTGATGCAAGGTGTAATGAAAAGAAAAGAAATTAGAGCACTCTGGGATTCCTTTATTGTGTGTTTTTTGAGACACGATCCCGTTTTGCGCCGCAGCGCTAGAGTCGAGTGCCCATGGCGTCAAAGCCCCTACGCTCACAGCAAACCCATCAACACCACTCCCTGGGTGGCCTCCCAAGGCCGATCCCTCCCCTGCCCACTTCAGCCTCCCAACTGTAGCTGAGACTACAGGCATGCCGCCACATGCCCCCAAGCTCTAATTTTTCTTTGTCTATAACAATCAGTGTGCCCCCCAACTATATTCCTTTCTACTTTATAAGCTAAGAATGCGGTGTCCTCCAGCATCTTGCTCAGGCCGTGGCGCTTCTCCTGAACCCTCCTGACCCTCGCCAATCCCGCTCCACCTCAGCCTCCCAGACGTGCCTAGGATTTACCAGGTATCAGCCCCCCACCGCCTGCCCACCAAGCACCCATGAGCATTTGTTCCTGTATCTAATAGCTAATGAAAAATAACTATAAGCATATATGGTGTTTATTACATAATCTTGATCTTTCTGTTACATTCCAGACTCTTTTCTATAGTTCTCAGGTACTTTTCTTAGGTCAACATGCCTAGTAAAAAACGTCATAAATGAAGCCATTTTTGTGAGCTCTAATATGTATTTAGGTTTTCTCAAGTTTGTTTCCTAATGGTTAATCAACTCCCAAGTCCCATGCCGTATACCTTATATTTTTATGCTTTTGGTAAATATTTACCAGTATCTATATATTCAATCTTTACTCTTTGTCAACAGACATGAGTGAGCATTTTTTGCCCTGCCCCTTCCAGATGAACTTACTGATTTTTTGTTTTTAAAGATACTCAGTTAAGTCTCCTAACTTCATTGTATTGGCCAAGACCCATCACCAGTACCTTCCAGTCAGTATTTATAAGGTTAAAGGGCATCTGAAATACATGTTCACTGGCAGGTTTAGAGAGCTAAA